AAAACTTGAAAGATTATCATATTAAAGAGTTATCCACAAAGTCTCATTAACATTCTTTTGATTGTAGCCAAGCACTGTTCTTGTTTTCAGTTTCCTAACTATAAAAGTAACACCACTTCTGCTTTGTTTTTCATGTCCTGAGTAAAAAGCAGAGTAATGTTTTGATCAAAATTGTCCAATTCCAGTCCATCTCAATTCCTTGATGTCTAAGATGTCTATTTGTAGTAATTTCATTTCATCTTTCATTGTGTTGTACTTTCCTTTGTTCATGCTTCTTATGTTACACATTATTTACTGTAATTCTGGATTTTCTTTGCTGTATGGCAACATCAGGATCAAGATGCCCCAAAAGCTTTAATTGAGTCATGTTATAAACACCATTTACTCTAAAAGATCCTCAGTAGTATGTTGAGTACCATCTGAGGAGCCTTCAGTCTAGTATTATATAACATACAACACACCTTTTTCTTCCTACTTTCCCCACATCAAGAATTCTGTGAGGTGAATTGGGCCGAGAGAAAGTGACTGGCCCGAAGTCACCCATCTGGCTTTCATGGCTAAGGCCAGTATTGTTACTAAAGTGGTGTAGGAGAAGGAGTGCTAAAACCTGGTGGCAGAGTTAAAAGAGGAATCCCTATGTAGCCACAAGTGAACTCAGTCTAACCCTTGTTGAATTCCATTGACCCTCATTTAACTTCAAGCAGGTGCTAACTGTTAGTTGAAAGGTTTTCCATGCAGAGGCATGATTAGCAATAAATTGGTTTAATTGGACTTTCATACATGGGCCTGATCTTTGATGCCTGGCAAGTGATCTTCAGAGCTGTGTAGCTGGGTGACCTTCATGCCTTGGATAACCCTGCTGGGAATATACACTCTTGACATACACTCCTGGTATTCTTTGCTCATCTCGCCCAAGAATACTGCCCACTATGATGAGGCAGCACAGCAGAACCTGGGGGGCATCTAACATGGTTATTACATTCTTACCCAGATATAGTCCATCATATTTTTTAGAATGCATGGATTTCTCTTGAGGAATAGTTCCTGAAAGTGTGAAAAAAAAGGATCGGCAGAAAGAATGGAGAACTGAAGCATGACCATGAAGTATGGAAAGTATCAGTTTTAATGCATACCAGTTTCAGCAACTCATAAGAACCAACATTTTGGGGAATTAAATTAATCTTTAAAGGCTCCATCCACTGTTAGAGGATACTCAGATGTTTTTACTTAGCAGGAACTGAAAAATAATGTAGAAGAAAATTAGTTGCAATAACCATAGTCATATTGGTAATATAAAGCCAGCAGATTCTGATAATAATTTAAATAACAATATAGGATAGGCATAAATAAAGCCGACAAGGGCAAGATGAAAGCTTGGGAAGCATCTGGTCGACATGAGCAGCCATTTTTTTTATAGCTGCCACTATGGGAATAATAAAATACTGGTAATTGATATCATGGTTAATGAGAAATGTAGGGAGAAAAGGAAGCAAGGAAGAAAGGAGGAAGAGAGAGGGAAGGAAGGGTGATAGAAACAAAGAGGGAGGGAAGGAAGGTGGGAGGGAAGGAGAAAAAGAGAATGAAAACGAAATGAAGGAAAGAAAGAAAAGAGGAAGGAAGGAAGGAAGGAAGGAAGGAAGGAAGGAAGGAAGGAAGGAAGGAAGGAAGGAAGGAAGGAAGGAAGAAAGAAATTATTTTCAATGGTCCCTGTCAGTTTCACCCAAAGAAACTCCTCAGTGTGGAAGCTGATAAAAGTCACTCCTGCTTCCACTGTTCTTTTGCATGACTGTGGTCATTCTGTTTCTCTCTTTAGGTAAGGAAATATTGATGACCCAGCAGCACAGATTATCTAGTGTTATAATTATTACCCTGAACATTAGTATATACAATACTAATCAGAACTAAGGAAGAAAAATATCTATGTTTAATTTGAGCAACACCAACTTACAAGAATTTCTGTCACACCAGTTTATTTGGCTGCCTCGGTTTCATCATAAAATATTTGTGAAGTTGTTGTTTTAGGAAAAAAACTTTCAGCAGGTGAAGTTGCATATTCACACTCTGGAATCCAACTTGATCTGTATATTAGAAAAGGAATAAATTATTTCAAGTTGAAAATTATTTTGTAGGTATAAAGGACTAGGTAAAGTAGTCCTTGCGGATTGTACTCCGCTAATAGTTGCTGAATATAGGGGGTAGTGCTCATCTCCAATTCAAGGCCATTGAGCCAGCGTTGACATTTCCATGGTCATGTGGCAAGAATGATGTCACAAAGCGCTGTTAGCTTCCAGCCAAAGTGGTACCAATTTATCAACTTATCTATTTATTTACTCGCAGTTGTATGCTTTTGAACTGCTCGGTTGACAGGACGCCAGGGGCAAGGATGCCAGCTCCCTACTCAGGTCTCACACTTGGGCTGCTGGCTTTCCAGCCAACAAGCCCAGCATCTTAACTGCTGCCCATAAAGGATTAGGATATATGTTAATTAAATGTATAATTGATAGTTGTTTGATTGTAGGTTGATTTACATGAGTGGATTTTTTTTAATTGCCATGAAATTAAGGGGAAAATAAAAGGTTAAGGATTCTGCAATGGATGCCTTTGAAGACCTCTTTTTTCTAAAGAGCATTTAGCCATTTGATCTGAATACTATACATGTTATCATATACCTTTGCTAAAATAGCATATAGTCTACAAAGAGAAAATTACAAGGACGATCTCTTGTATCTTATTGAATTTTACAGGGTAGAACAAGTAATATTCCATTATGCCCACTAATCTGCTAGACAGTGATCTGTCGTGTCCCTATTGTGTCTAAGACTAAGGAAGCAGGAAAAGCACAGATTTCAATGACATGTCTTTAATGCTAATCTGGAGTAAATGCAGTATGTAGACAATTAATACTAATTTGCTAGGTGTATTATAGTGTGTAAATTAATATGGATCTCTTTTATTGCTACATGTGCAATATTGATGCCTGAATTGAAATAACCATAAATTTAAAACATAGTCTAAAATTGAGATTGGAAAGTGTAAATGCAAAATACCAAATAACAATTTTGTTTGATCCATAAGATCTGTGTTCTGTACCCTGGGAAAACTGACTTACTTGGCACAGCACTGGAAGCCAAATTCACACTGTCCATATGAAACAAAACAGTCAGGGCAGGGAAGGTCGTTTGGGGAACAGAAACCATCAAAACGATATTGACAATCAAGTTGACCTCCAGCAGGATCTACATGAAAAATTAAATATATATATTTAAAACTCCCTTGTGCATTATATATAAATACAAATATATAAAAATATCTCACATATAACACATTGGTAAGCATGATTCTGGATGAAATATCTAAGAAATATCTACAGAAATAACCTATATCTACAGCAACAACCAGTGTATTGTATTGACTCTTCCTTTGTGTATGTATGTATATTCCCTGCATATGTATGTGTGTGAGATTATCTTCCCATTGAAAATTAAAAATGTATTATTGATGATTTACATTATTATTTTCAAGGGAAATATTTGTAGCTCAGGGTTGATATGAGGGACCCCTTGGTACTTTCTGAGTTTGGTTGTTTTCTTGCCGACATTTCATTACTCACATGTGGTAACATCATCAATGCTAGTATTAGAACTAATGGAGGGTAATGAAACATTTGCAAAAAAACAACCAAGCTCAGAGGGCACCAAGGACCCCCCAATTATTATATTATTTGAATTTATTAGCTGTCCAACTCCAATGGAATGTTATGGTATGTGGGAATGACCTTAGAGGTGCAGCAAATCTCAGAAGAGAGACCCTCCCTAGTATCTTGGACTGTAAAGACTATGGGTGGGTGAGACTTGTAAGATTCTTTTAATGTCAGCTTACAATAAACTCAGACTTAGTATTGGTGTGCTTTTTGTCTGAACTATCTTGTAAGGCTGATATAGAGCCATGGGAAATTATGAGCTGTTGTTGAGGCAGTGAGCCCCTGGTTCTCTGGATGTCAGTTTGCTCCTCTCAGAGAAGTTGGAAAGATAGGGAGTTTGGTAGATTATTAAATGTAAAAAGGTGGGAAGGTTTTGAAATACCCACAAAGAAGGAATGGTTGGTGAAGATAACAGAATTTGCAGAAATGCAAAATGGAATTGTTTGATTAGGGAATAGCCAATGACTACATTTATTAGTGACTAGAAATCATTTCTGGATTTTTTTTTTGCTAAAACTGGAAAGAATATTAGCATGGTTTATGAGTTTGGTGATTATTTCTCCAAAATTTGCACAGTGGTTAAGATGTTTTTTCTGAACTACCTACAACTCTACATTAAACAGGGAACTATAATGAGTATGGTGCAAAAGTGAATGCTGTCCAGTATGTGGTATGTGTGGGCCTTGTTTATACATGAGTTTGTAAAATTTTTACTTAATAAAGAAATGCTAACATGGATACTTTACATATTATTTACAAGCATATTCAGCATATCTACAATATCACTTTGAAAGGACCTAAAGTATTTCATAAAGACATCTAGCATAATTCCATCTCACACACTATGACTATATTAATGTATTAATGTAATATATTGCATTGCAATGTGCTTAAAGATTGCTCATTTTTGTACCTGGACCAACTACACCTTTCAGAAAGAGAGTCAAAAAGAAAAGGTGATAGATCTTCATGGCTGATGAATCAAGTAAAAACTTCAACGTTCACAGACCGAAAGTATTCCTGTTGGGAAATACAGAGTTAGTATCCTCATTGACAAAGGTGAATAAGGCAGATCTTTCTTTCAGCAAAAGTGAGAACTGCTGTCCTGATCCAGACTGAAACCACAACCTCTCCCCAACTCTCTCATAGGAACACCATCCCTGCAGAACGTCTCAAAGGTGCTTTTTCAAAAGGCAATTAGACTGGATTTTTTTTCTTGAGGAGGAAGAAGAAAATGTTTCACTTCTCATCCAAGAAGTGTCATCAGTTCTGAAGCTTCTTGGTTGAGAAGCAAAATGTTTTCTTCTTCTTCCTCAAGGAAAAAAACAGTCCAGCTGCCTTTTGAAAAACCATCTTTGAGGCAACTATGACCTGGATAACTGAGAATCTCCACAGACATCCATGCAAAAAAAAATTATAATGATTATCTGAACAGATGCTGATTCCCCTGCAACATGTTAGAATTCTGTGGTGCATTTCCAGGATCCACATCTACTCCTGTTGATTCATTGGAAGTACAACTATGAACAAATCAGGGCTCCAGGAGAAGATGCTCACTTCTACCCAAACAATTTAGTGCATCTAAGAACTAGGGTTACTGAGACNAACCAACCCACAAGCTCGGAGAACGAACCTTCACCCTCATCTGACATCCGAGCTACAGTTATTTACCACTATTGCAAACCTGAAAAGTATATTGTCAGGAGTAACTGAAAGTCCTTACTATTTCTCTCAAAGAACTTTTAATAACCCTGCAAATGATATGCATGCCTTCTTTCTGCCCGTGATGCTATTATTTGTTTATTTTTTTATATCTGTAAGATACTTACAAAATATCTTTATCTATGTGCTGGTATGCATGCATCTGTATGTATGGCTTCCCTAACTTTTTGAACTAGAAATGGAAGAACCTATTTCTTTCTGCAGACAGAATCCTTTGGATAATTTGTCTGCTTCTGGACAACCAGCCTGTCCTGCTGAACTCCATCTCTCAATGCACAATGTCCAATTTTGTTCATCTAAGACTGACTCAGGCATCTATACCACTTTCATATTCATTCAGAGTCCAGGATGCTGTAAGCACAGATATATGTCTGCAAATCAATAGAAGTCACACATACTACAGGGACAGAAATCTGTCATGATTGCCATTTTGTTTTTGTTTTTTTTACCCTCTCCTATGAATGCTGCAGACCAAAGCTGACATTTTGTATTGATTATTTAGCATATATTCAAATTACTGTGCCTAAGAATATTCAAAAATTTAAAGACCGGAAAACATGCAGAAATACTGCTATCTGGAAATAACCAGAACTTTGCTGATTTCAACAGCAGATGAAGCAGCCAAGAACTTCCTTCATTCTTGCTCATAAATTGGACCTAAGCACACCTCCCCTGCAAGTCCCACTTTTCTACACTTTCATTGGAAACCTTTCTTTTCTTTGAAAAGAGTAACATTTTAGTGAACTTTGGAAAAGAATGGACAGGTGGTTGGGAGGTGGTTTGGTGGATTGATGGTGTATTCAAAAATTATTGTACAGATTTGATCACCAACAATTTATCTCACAGGGTTCTCATTGTGGGAAAATAGGAGGAGAAAGGAGCTTTAGGTATGCCACCTTGAATTATTTACAAAAATAAAAACAAAATAAAAACTTTATAAAAAATAAAGGCAGGATATAAAATAATAAAATAATGAACATATGAAAATACAGAATGTTTGGAAATTAATAAATGCATTTAAATCATATTTTGAGGTAGAGTAATAACATTATCCCATTCTCAAGTCAATCTGATACTTGCACGGAAAATAAATTCTAAACAATCTGTTCAGATATATTTCTTGCATTCTTCCATGTCCACTTGCCATCCCTGGGTGTTATACCTTTAAGGCAATCTGAGTATAACAAGGCATAAGAGTCAAACTCCTTCTTTCTCACTCTGTCTCTCCAATAACCTTGTTCCCTTACTGCATAAAACTAATATCAGTGAGATTTTCACAATATTGTAAAATTATTTTTATCTATCAGTCTCTTTCTAATGGTCAATCTAAGACTTAAACATCAAACTCTTGAGCAAGAATGAGAAATCCATGAGTTGCAGGTGCCCTGCACCCCTTACTTTTCTTTTGCAATCTCCAGAATCACGCAGCCAAAACCTGGGAAGAAACAATCCAAAAATACAAGAAAAACTAACATATTAAATCTTACCATTCCTGGAAAAAGCTTATCTCCATTTTTAATAAGTCTCATTCCATTCCCTGTTCTGACATCTTTATACATCATTCTATTCTTACCAGTTATAGGAAATGAGAAATATATAAAAGCTTGCCTTCCATGATGAAAAACTGAAGGTTAGGCTAAACAGACAAAGAAAGAGAACTGCTATTCCCTTGAGAGATGCCCCCAGCTCATATGAAAGTCTGCTTCCATCTCCCAATTCTTACCTTTTCTAGTACCGAAAGGTGGACAAAGCCCAAATTTCATCTATGGTGGTTGCTTTTGTCTAGAGGGTGTTAGCAGATCCCTCCCACTTTTGTCTGTTTTTTCCCCATCCCATACCTGGGTATAAAAGAATGTTAAGCAGGTTCATAGAAGGTTGAAAATTGCATTCAGAGATTTGAGAAGAATGGTCTATATACACCAGAAGGTAGGTTTTCAGAGTTTTAAAAGAGTAGTTTATCTTGATAGTACCCCTTCAAAAAGCTTTGACAAAGAAAACTAACCTCAGTTTCCATATGTCAAAATGGAGGGGCTATGTACTACTACTTACTGTAAATGTGACTCTGTGCATATACAGAACTCTCCTGTTTTTGAAGTGTTCAAATGGTTCCAAATCAAAGGGTTGGCTTTCCTACACACATCTTTAATTGTCAAAAATTGAATTCCAAAGACTGGTGCTTCAGGCATTTCCCAATGAAAATATAGAGTGAAAGAAATACGATACTACTCCTTCTACCATTTGCTATCCAAATGTATCATTTTAATTGGCTTCTGAGCTTAGTCAGTATTTCAAGCACCAAACTAGGTTTGCTTTTCTAGCCAACTACATAATACAGTTTTCAGCTGATTGTTTAGGAGTAGGAAAAATAATAATCCTTTTGTAAATATAACAGAAAAATACATATTTATACTCATACATACATGTAGCCATAGCTTCAGGTACTTTACTGAAGAATGCTGAATTATCAGATTAGGAGGTAACACTGATTGTGTAATTAATTAATAAACAAAGTCCAAAGTATCAAGATTTCCAGCATAAGTAAAAAAATCAGAGAAAGTTGGTAAGATTCACAATCAAATTAACTGAAATTCTCTTTGCTTTTATAGAGATAGATTTTGAGATTGTGAAAAAAATCATACATGTTTAGCAAGTCTGCTTAGGGAAATATTTTCTTTTCTTCCTTCTTATACAAAGATGAGAGAGAGAGAGAGAGAGAGACAGAGACAGATAGACAGAGACAGAGATGACAGAGCAATGAATGGAAACTAATCAAGGAGAGAAGCAACCTAGAACTAAACAGAAATTTTCTGACAGTTAAAACAATTAACCAGTGGAACAACCTGCCTCCAGAAGTTGTGAATGTTCCAACACCTCCAGTTTTAAAGAAGAGACTGGACAGCCATTTGTCTGAAATGGTATAGGGTTTCCTGCCTGAGCAGGGTGTTGGACTAGAAGACCTCCAAGATCCCTTCCAACTCTGTTATTCTGTATTCTGTATTGAGACAAAGTGAGAGAGAGAGGGGGGAGAGTGAGAGAGGGAGGGAGGGAGGGAGAGAGAGAGAGAGAGAGAGAGAGTACAAAAGGCCAAGATTCCAGTAAATATTGAAAACTGCTCAGAAACACAACACATATTTCTTTATGTAGACAAACATAGAAAATACAAATAAATTATCTGCTTTTCTCAGTGTTCCTAGTCATATATCTGTCATTTAAGCCTAAGTAATTTTTAAGTGCTTAGCCAATCCCATTAATCATATAACTGTATACAAACAGGGTAAAGCTTATTCCTAATCATATGCCTCTTTGTCCTGCAAATTTTGATAGCAAAAAACATTTTTTTAGATTTGTAAATAAAGTTCACTTGAAAAAGCAAATATTGTTCTTTGTGAAATACTAAATGTGCATGTTTACAAAAGTGAGTGATTGTCTCATTATTTTATATTTATTCATTTATATTAGATATTTCTTTGACCTTTATTACTTTATAGATATCTCAAGGTAGGGAACATACATAATATGCCTTTCCCCTTGGATGGTTTGGGCTGAGAGACAGTAACTGGCCTGAGTCACCCAGCAGTGTTTCATACCTATGGCAGGATTAGGACTCAGTCTTCTGGTTTCTAGGTCAGCACTGTAGGATGACAGCACCCTCCCCCAGAGAAAGAAATATTTTGGGAATATTAAAAGGCAGAATATTATATTTCCCCAAAGGATCTTAAAGGCAGAAAAGCAGGCCCAGTTTTCCTTAATAGCCCCAAGCAGAAACTAGGCAGAGGCCAGGTCTGTAGAAATGCAGATCTGATCATCCTATTCAGAAAGGTTGGAGCCAGAAAGCTAGAAGCTGATAAGATTAGAAAGACAAAGACCCCTAAAATCAACATATCTCACCCAAACTCTAAAGACATGAGCTTTAGGACATAATAGGATTAACCCACCACCATCAAAGTACCAAAAGGATATGCTCAAAAGCTCAGGTCAAAGTTCAAGCCACAGGAACAGGAAGAACAACCCCAAACACAAAAGCCCAAGAAGGTATAAAAACCCACCACTCCCAGCTACATGTGGTCAGCTTCCTCAGAGCCACATTTCTGTCTGGCTCCGCTCTTCAATAAACTACAACTTTTTTTCTAAAGCAGTTTCCATTTTGTTTATTCCCGGCTTGAACTGGACCCTGATGAAGATTTTTCTTTCAACAGCACCTTAGACCAAACTGGCTCTCTATGGTAAAGTTAAAGTAGATAGAAGCAAAGAAGAAGATTTATATCAACCCAACAGTCTAATAAAGTAGAAGACTAATGCTATCTTATGACTGAGCTTTAGACAATCATATAAAATCACTCACAATTTCAGAGTATGTAGCTGAACGACTAACACTGAAGTTTAAAAATATGAATCGATACACAACATGAAATGTTCTACAAATGAACTAAATAACCAGGAAGTAAAGGTGGAAAATATATGGTGAAATAGGTGGGGATATTTAAGTTTTAATTCTATTATATTTCTGGCAACTATTAATTCTATTCCTGTAAAGGCTTGGCCCTGATATTTGATCTAAGTTGGCACATTTCATGTAGGAAACTATGCTGTTCCTGTAAAAGCGGTTCTGCATAGTCCACAAAGAACACAAAAGATACATTCATAAATAAAATGTTCTCAGCTGTGGTAACTGTTTCCTAGTTAATGTTGGTGTGGCTCATTAAATAGAAGGATTTCTATATATCTCTATTTTATTATATTATCATTGCTTCACACGACTGGTTAAGAGGAAGATTTTTCAAATGTTTGCTCTTGTTATACAATAGATCATATAGGACTTTGCTCAAATATTCTTGGTTGTCCTGTTGATTGTTACAACAGAGTTTGGCTCTGGGAAAACCAACCAAGAAAACAGAAACAGTTGACAGGCAACAGTTTGTGTTGCTCTAGCTGTCTCTGAAGAATAGGTGGTAGGATTTTATTTAGCCTGTTGCATCTGGATATTACCCTGAGATGAAATAAGCACATTTCCCAAAATAAAGCTATCAAAGTAGTGGCACAACTTTGTTCCTGAAGTTGTGGATGCTCCAACACTGGAACCTTTAAAGAAGAGATTGGACAACCATTTATCTGAAATGGTTCCTGCCTGATCAGGGTGTTGGGCTAGAATACCTTTCCATATCTGTTATTCTGTTAAAGTTTTCCTCCCCACTCATATCTGGGAGCCAGTGTGGGTAGTAGTTAAAGTGTTGGACTAGGAGTAAAGAGATCCAGCCATCCCTTAGGCATGGAAAACAGTCGGGCCAGTGATTCTCTCCCAACCTTAGATTGGAAACATTTATCTGTTGACAGTCATTTTATGAACATTTCACTGTCTTCAGCTGTAAAGGCCTTCATTCCACAGAGGACAGTTTCAGGCTGATATTTATTTGCATTACAGATACTCAGAAAGTTAGATAATCACTATGTACTGTAAAATGCATAAGAAGAATATGAAATCAGAAGAATAACGATACTTATATGATAAAGCTAATTCCTATTGTAAGTTTCAAAAAGAGGTGATTGATATAGCTTAAGAGTCTCATGTTGTTTTCAAGCATCTTTTTGTGGCCAATTGTGCTGAAAATTAGTCACATTTTTTCTTGCTCTTGTTGAGACAGAAAACATAAAATAGTTTTATCTTATGTAAAATAATGAAGAAAGTTTCCAAGTCTGGGATGACAACATATGAAAATATAATCATAGGTAGGCATGGCTTCATCAGTTTCCTTGACGGACCTACCTACTATGTCCTACAATTTCATGTAAAGTGTTATTTGTCTATTTGGCTTCTTGTCTCAAAATTTTGCTGTCCTTAGAGATGAAAAATGAGAAGAAGGGTACTTGAGTAAAAGTTTCATAAAAACTCTGAGTTCTGAAGAAAGAGAACATGTATTATTTACAATGCCCAGTGTATTGCCTTGGCCCTGTAAAGCTTCTTATGGGACTAAGTGTATGGGGAAACTGTAGCCACTATCTCCTAAAGAATGCTACACTAAGAGACAACAGCCCCCTTTGTTCTAGTTTGTTAAAATACAACTAAACAAAGAAATGATGACCATCAGTCAATTGCAAAAGGCAGCTTTACTTGGGATAGCTTATATCCTGTAACAATAGCTTTAACACTATGAAACAAACATCTGCCTATTCCAGGTCCTTGGGAAGGTGGACAACAATGTCAAATTCAGTCTAAACATCTCACTCGCTATGCCACAAACAACCACAACCACCACCACCACAACAACAATAATAATAATGATAATATCAGAAGTGATAAAGAAAGAAGTGAAAGGCTTTATTTTAGTGACTCAAGAACTAACTTTGCTGACTAATTGCATGAAAGTGAAAATTCATTATGAGCAATAATGTCAACTTTGTAGTGAAAAAGATGAAGCAATTGACCATTTGATCAGTGGCTGTAGCAAAATTTCACAAACTACTGTATAAGACTGAGTTGCCAAAATTATTCACTGGAAATTTTGTCAGAGTTTTAGGTTTGGATGCAGCAAGAACCCTGGGACTCTCAAGTTGAAAAGGTTTTGGAAAAGGAGCAGGTTAAGATCTTACCTGACTTTCAAATCCAAACAGGCAACCACCTTATTTATAACATTCCTAATATAACATTAAAAAAAAGGAAATCTGGTGCATTGGTGATGTTATAGTGGATACTGCTAGGATTGAGGTAAAGCAATCAGAAAAAAAACTGAAAAACCAGAATTTAGAAATCAAAGTTGAAAACGTATGAAAAAAGAAAGCCTCTGGAACAGTATCTAAAGGACTCCTTCGATATTTGTAAACTTTGAATTTATCAGGTGTGAACACCCTAGTGTCAGAAAAGAAAAATAATCCTGCTTGGAACTACCTACATCCTCCGAGTCTACCTTATTAATTCTTAGGTCTTTAGTTATGACTGTGAATTCAATTGGAGATTATCTGTATTTTAATAATAATAATAATAATAATAATAATAATAATAATAATAATAATAATAATAATAATAATAATAATAATAATAATTTAAATAAATAAATAATGGTGCATTGGAATATTTGCAAGCAAGAACTGGTGGTTTTCCACATATTTTTGTTTAAAAAAAAATTGCATTGCTTTAAAATTTTAACTGCTTTCCTATTTATCTTTTTATGATCTGTGTGATTCTGGAAGATGAGTGGCA